TTGTTGCGATGCTCACTTGTTATACGGGGGATGACGTCACTGGGGCAACACGTCAGCGTGGGGCTATACACGTCATACTCATCACCCTGCGGTATAATACAGCCAACAAACAGACGTCGTCGCCCCCCCAACTATTCAGCTCACAGTGTGGTGGTGAGGAGTGGCATCCCGCGGCCACTGCAACAAACACCAACCCTCCGCTGCGACAACACTAAGGTCGACGTTCACCCTGTTGTTGTAATGGGAAGTTCGTCCTTATCTCCCACCGTTCAGAGGGACGAGTGAGGACCTTGACACGGGTAGCTATGATATAGTGGTGCCAACTGAGGACCCTAAAAATAACGCTTTAAAGTACCTCTTGGTTGATAACGAGTTTGAGGTGCTACTGTGTGGGTCGTGTCCGAGGCCCACACGACCCGTCACTCTCATAAAACACGACAGTAAATGACGCCTTGATGGCCAGACGGGTGTAGAAATGGCCCGGGGTGATCAGCGCTGGGTTTGAAGGTTACCAGGCCTCGCTAGTATGATTAATTCTCACAGGTAGACGGCCAATAACAAACACGGGGCCGGGAAGACACAGGGCGGAGGCGGTCACCACAGATTACAGAGGCTTTGGAGAGATGACTTTCACGTAGGTTGAGAAGAAATTGAAGCTGCCTGAAGGAGGGAAAGGACAACATAAGAAGGTTCACGAAGGTGTGGAAGACGTAGGCACTGTCTGAAGGGCGGGGAGACAACAGCAGGAGACTCCTTTTGGGTGTGGAAGACGTATAAATTACATTAAAAAAGAGGCTGTTAAGCGCTCCTGCTGGTGTAGAACCTGCCTGAAGGAGGGACTACTACACCCAGGGTCACGGCCAGACGAGAGGTACTGTCACTTGAGATCCATCGTCAGCGTGCCAAGGTGACCACTGGGACTTAGGCATTACCCCCAGCCCATGGTGAACTATTGTCCTTACCACCACCACCACCACACAACCACACTCTACCACACCACCAGAAAAATACCTATAATAATAATATCAATACATACAATAAATATCAACAAGACCGGACGAGATGCAACATTGCCTTAGTAACAGGTATGACGCTCAAGGTGAAAGTGATGATGGCGGTGTTCCTAAGCGTGACCTGCTGTATACCGCCACGCAGCTAACTTGGAATTAGGAACCTGACAATGACCGGTTCCTAGGCACCGTGTCTGATGTTGGGGGAGAGAGGGTGAAAAAAAGGGGGGTGGATGTTGACAGTGTACGCCGACCATCATCAAACCACCATACTACCACACTATACCACTACTACACTATACCATTACTACACTATGACACCACTACAATACCATACTACTTCTCTACCATATCACTACACTATAACACCTCTACACTATCTCACCGCTAGACTATCCGACTACTACACTATATCTCTACCACTGTATCACACTATCACACCACCATACCAGTATATTGTGTAGTAAAGGTGGAAACACGACTACCCAACCCTTTATCACCACAAGGAAAGAGAGTGTGTGTGCTTGTGTGTGTGTGTGTGTGTGTGTGTGTCATTTCCTAGAACACACACACACACACTACATTTACATAAACATTCAGACAAAAACCTCCTCCCCCCCCTCCCCTCCTAAATGTCTGTGTAGGTATGATTGTTGACATAGCACACCTACAGTAAGAGGGTTACCTGTAATCTCTCTTCTTAATTATCATAGAGTCACCAGGTAAGGCAGGTGTATTGTCCTTTCTCTGTTGACATAAGTTACTCCCATGTTACATTATACCCGTAGGTAGGTAGCCCATGAATACCTTACTAGGCCAGACTAACAAATATCTAAGTAAACATTGCTGGTTTTTGGTCTAGTTGGAACTTTTTATATACGTATTGAAAGAATAAACTCTACATTGACTGGATTTTAATATCACTTACCTGAATCATACAGTTAATTGATTATGTTAATGTTCTGGTACGTAGGTGATATTTCTACAGGTGTGTGTGGTCTTTCGTTTTGACAGGTGTGGAGGTAGAGGTGGGGAAGGTGTGTGTGTGTAGGAGAGGTGTGGGTTGGTGGAGGGTGTGGTAAAGACTGTGGGATTGGTGTGGATTTCTTGGTTGTAGGTTGGGAACGTGAGAGAGAGAGAGAGAGAGAGAGAGAGAGAGAGAGAGAGAGAGCCGGATGTGTAAAACCCGTTAACAAAATAAACAATATTAACTGAAAACACGAAATATCTTATCCGGAATAATCAGACGGTTAGGTTTGTGTGTGTTCCGTTGCGCTCAGAGGCTCCTTATGCAGTGTTCCGTTGCGCTCTGAGGCTCCTTATGCAGTGTTCCGTTGCGCTCTGAGGCTCCTTATGCATTACGGTCAGATACCTCTCATGCGTGCGAATTCCGTTTATTTTGTACACAGACTGATCACATATCTGACCTTTTAGCAGAAATTAACCCGAGAACTGGACCCCCGGCTAGCGTTAACACTTCCGAGAGAGAGAGAGAGAGAGAGAGAGAATTCTGCGTCGTTCAACTTCACGCCATCAAAGAAAACAAATTTAAAGGGAGACTTCGGTAGTCCAAGGTCGGGTCCCTCCCATCTCGTCAGTAAAATCTTCTAAACCGGTATCTCATATTTATGGCCTCAGGATATTTTTATAAATAGCCTATGAGATGTGTCAGCCTGGGTCCTCCTTATGCTTTCATGTACCTGAATATATTAGAGCTTAGCAATTTTTTTGGTCAAGAGCAATATTGTGTATTTTTTGAGGATTTGTATTGAAATTAAGTATATTTGTTTTAAGAATGGTGTGTGTGTGTGTGTGTGTGTGTGTGTGTGTGTGTGTGTGTGTGTGTGTGTGTGTGTGTGTGTGTGTGTGTGTGTGTGTGTGTGTGACAGTAGAATAATCTCACAAACTGATTAATATATAAGATTTTACGTACATAACACTTATGACCAATTGAGATATACCTGTAGAAGACGATAATTAATGCCAGGTGTAATAAAACGCTTACACCTGTTGCTCTCTCACTCTCTGCTGCCGTGTTTAAATTCCTGAAGGTGGGGAACGTCTCCCTCCGTCAGGCTAGAAGCATCAAGTATAATCCTCACTACATGAAATTGGGTTGGTGACGTCAGCGGTAGAAGGAGGAGGAGGGGTGGATGAGGGAGGATGAGGGGAGGGGGAGGATGAGGGGAGGAGGACAGAGAGGGGGGAGGAGGAGAGAGGGGGGAGGGGGAGGATGAGAGGGGGGAGGAGTGATGAGAGGGGAGCACTGTCCCTTGTCTTTGTTAGTCTGGGGATTCTGTGTCAGGACGTAATCTGTGTGTCTACCCTGCCTACCCCCCCTTTCTCTGCCCACCTCCATCTGTCCACCTCGCCCCCACCCCCCCTTGCCCCTCTCTGCCCACCTCCCCTCTGCCCATCTCTTCCCCACCCACCCTGCCCCACCTCCTCTCTGCCCACCCACCTCCTTCCCAAATCTGCCCACCTCCCACTCAGTCTACCCACCTTATTTCAGCCCACTCACCTTCCTAACCCACCAACCTTTTCCCATACTTTAGGTCCACTCACTCCCAGCTTAGGCCCATTCCCACTCAATTACAGATCGCCCGCCCACTCAATCACTCTCTGGTCCCATTACCTCTTATCTTTAAACCTCATTCCATTCGTTTATCCTCCACCCACTCCACCCAATGCCACACCCCACCAAGGCCGCCCGCCCGTCCGCCCGCAAGCACCAATACCTCTCTCTCAGCCTCCTTCCTTCCACCACCACGCCCTCCACCTCTACCACACCCATTACCATCAACCACCTTCCACTACCACACCCTCCTCCACCTTCCACTACCACACCCTCCACCACCACCACAACCCGCCACACCCTTCTCCACCACCACCACCACCACACCCTCCTCCACCACCACACCAAAACTCCAATTTTATCACGTATTCCCTCCACCCCTTCCTCTCTTCCTCCTGTTTATCAGTCTTGCTCCTCACTGTTACTCTATCACCTCACTTCTTCCTTCCTCACGCCATCTTCTCCAACACTGTTTATTTCTTCTCCATCACTCCACCTCTCCTCCATCATTGTTTACTCCACCTCTTCTCCATCATTGTTTGTATTAAGACAAGCAAGTCACACACACACACACACACACACACACACATACACACACACACACACACACACACACACACACACACACACACACACACACACACACACACACATACATGTAAACAAATATACAGAAAAACAATCACCCCCTCCCTCGGTGCCCTGAGGCCAGCTTCCTCCACCTGCTGATGCAAAGTAGAGCTGATATTCTCCCTCCCCCCTCCCTCCCTCCCCCTTCCATGTCTACGTGCCCCAAACACTTCCTCCTCCTGTTCCTCTCCTCCTCCTCCTCTTCTTCCTCTGTCTGCTTCCTCCCTCCTGCTTCCCTCCCTCCGTTTCCTCTCCCTTCTCCTCCTCCCTCCTGTGTACACGTGTTTTCTCCTCCTCCCCTTTCATCTATCCTCCTCGACCACACCTTACCTCCTTCTCTTGGATCACGCCCCCTCCCCAACACCATCTACCCCCCTTTCATTCCGTTTGTCCCTTCCTCCTCTCTACCAGTGAAGGGGATTAGTATTCAAGCAAAGACCCATTCCTCCCCATTACCCCATGATCATCACTCCCCACCCAATCCCCATACCTCGTACTCTCCCCATGATCACTCCCCACCACCCATTGTGTCCTACTTCCCTCTCTCCCCATTCCCACTACCCCCACTCCACCACCCCTGACTACTCACCCACCACCTCCACCCATTACTGTCACCCACCATTCATAACCCTCACCCACCATCTATCATCCATCACCACCCACTTAATAGCCCACCCACCATCAGTGTTCTTAAAATTAACATGTGATAAAAACAGAATTGGCGCGTGTGTGTGTGTGTGTGTGTTAATGAGCCTCAGGTGTTCACATTGCACGTGTCTCCGCAGGTAACAGTGATGACGGACCATGGGAAGACAGTAACACCCTAGGCAACACCTGCACCACGCTGACACCACCTACCATTTCTCTAGACCTGTGAGTTACCTGTCAAGTTACCTGTGTACACCTTTTTGAGTTACCTTTGTACGTATGTGATCTTGTGTACACCTGAGAGTTACTTCTGTACACTGTGAGTTACCTGTTTACACCTGAGTTACCTGTATCACCTGTCAAGTACAAATACCACCTGTCTGTCCTTGTAAATCAAATTCATCACCTGTTAGGGTATTTAACTCACCTGTGTAGCCCCGTGACCTGCAGGTATATGACAGGTGTGTAGTAGCCTCCCAGGTAATTAGTCATGGGGAAGGTGTACGAGAGGACCTGTACCTCATCTATATCTTTGCTATTAAATGTAAACAAACTCCATCATATGCCTTCAGTAGCTGTCAAACGAGTGCCTGGAATGTTTGTGTGTGTGGGGGTGGGGAGGAATGTTTGTGTGTGGGGAGAAATGTGTGGGGGTGAGGGGTGTGTCCTTGAGAGCTTGGGTGTGTTTTTATGATGGGGGAGCTAGGGGATTCGGGGACATATAGTGTGTTCGATTTGAAGTTGAAATTAAGGCGTAGAGGTTGGTGTGGTGGAGGGGGTTGGTGGGTGGTAGTGTGGTAGAGGGGGTTGGGGGTAGTAATGTGGTAGGTTAAGGGATGACTCGGCTGGTCCACCTTGAGGTCGTGGGGATGGTAGGGGTCGTAGGGGGGGGGGAGGAGGTCGTGAAGGTCACCTGCTTTTCCACTAACCTGACGCAGACAGCACCTCCCCCTCCTCCCCTCCTCTGTCGGTTATTTGTCTGTCTGTCTGTCTATCTTCCTGTCTGACAGTGTCCATTAACCATTCAACCCTCACCCTCCTGTCAATGCATCCTAGCCTGTCTACTGTATCATCGCCTGTCACTATCTGTCATCTTCCTGTCTATTTATCTGTCTCGTGACTTGACACAGACGTAAAACAAAGGCGCATCGACGCTCCTTATTTAACAGCTGACTTCTCACCAATTGTTATTATGTGTCGTTCGTTGTTGGGATAAATTAGTGAAATATTCTCTTATCAAACGTTCGTGGTGTAAAGAAACGATTCTATTTTGTTTTTTGAGTGTTTATTTGCACCGTGTAAGTAAACGATTCGAATTTGTTTTTGTTTTTTTCAGGTGTTTACCGTTGTGTTGCATCATCGTCCGCTAGAGGGAGAGTTGTGTTTTTTATTGTTTTTTACTACCGTTCAGTTCTATTTAAATTTTAAACTATGTCCCGGATTTATTTAATTATTTTCCTTTATACTTAACCATGATTGTTGCTTGTGTCTGTATGTCTCTTCGTCTCCACAGTACAGGATATGCAAGACCTCCCCCCCCCCCCACATCCCTAGTAGAGAGAGAGAGAGAGAGAGAGAGAGAGAGAGAATATGTGGTGGACCTTGTGCAGTTAAGCTCAGATATTACACGTGAAGTCAACTTTTTTCGTGGGTAGTGTAGCCGGATGGGAGGCAGGGTAACACAGCAGGGTAATCTAGCAGGGTAACACAGCAGGGTAATCTAGCAGGGTAACACAGCAGGGTGACGTAGTAGGGTAACACAGCAGGGTAATCTAGCAGGGTAACACAGCAGGGTGACGTAGTAGGGTAACACAGCAGGGTAATCTAGCAGGGTAACACAGCAGGGTGACGTAGTAGGGTAACACAGCAGGGTAGGGTAGACAGGCACCTCGGCATTACTAAAAGTTGAACCAGATTATTAACACACCTGTCCCATGTCTAATTAAAAAGGTTCACCTGTGTGGCTAACCTCCAACATGTTATCACAGTACATTACCTCATCGCATTACACTACAGTTCTTATCTATAAACACACACACACACACACACACACACACACACACACACACACCTGACTGTAAATCGCTTCCTAGTCAACGTTTTTTTTTTCCTCAAGTTAATGTTTCTTGTATACTGGTGTAGCAGGTAAGGGATTTGTAGTGAAGTAACATACACCTGCACCATCAACACCATCTCATTAACTAATATACCTGTGACATAATCTCTCTAACAGGTAAGGCGGAAGACGTCACATAATCCTCAACAAAGGGATCGAAATCTATTAACCTAAACCTGAATACCTTAGTTATCCTCACCGTTACTAACACCCGGGGTATTAATGTAAGATAATGAAGCGTAATAAGTGGGAACGGTGATTGAGAGGGGGGAGGTAATGACGCAGAGGGGGGTAGGTTAAGAATGTGTTGAGGGGGGTAGGTTAAGACGTGTGTTGAGAGGGGGTAGTTATGACGTGTGTTGAGAGGGGGTAGGTTATGACGTGTGTTGAGGTGTGTGTGGGTAGGTTAAGACGTGTTGGAGAGGGGGTAGGCGGCATCGTGTTGAGGGGGTAGGTTATGACGTGTGTTGGGAGGGGGGTAGGGTTATGACGTAAAGTTGTGTAGGTTATGACGTGTGTTGAGGGGTAGGTTGGTGACGTGTGTTGAGGGGGGGTAGGTTATGACGTGTGTTTGGGGGTAGTTGGTGACGTGTGTTGGAGGTGGGGTATGATGTGTGTGTTGAGAGGGTAGGTTATGATGTGTTGAGGGGTAGGTTATGACGTGTGTTGAGGGGGGTAGGGTTATGACGTGTGTTGAGAGGGGGGTAGGTTATGACGTGTTGAGGGGGGGTAGGGTTGTGACGTGTGTTGAGGGGGGGTAGGTTATGACGTGTGTTGGAGGGGGGGGCAGGGTTATGACGTGCTGAGGGGGTAGGTTATGACGTGTGTTTGGGGGGTAGGTTATGACGTGTGTTGAGGGGGTAGGGTTATGACGTGTGTTGAGGGGGTAGGTTATGACGTGTGTTGAGGGGGGGTAGGTTATGACGTGTGTTGAGGGGGGGTAGGTTATGACGTGTGTTTGGGGGTAGGTTATGACGGTGTTGAGGGGTAGGTTATGATTGCGTGGGGGTAGGTTATGACGTGTGTTGAGGGGGTAGGTTATGATGTGTTGAGGGGAGGTCATGACGTGTTGAGGGGGTAGGGTATGACGTGTGTTGAGGGGGTAGGTTATGACGTGTGTTGAGGGGGGTAGGGTATGACGTGTGTTGGAGGGGGTAGGGTATGACGTGTGTTGAGGGGGGGTAGGGTATGACGTGTTGGAGGGGGAGGAGAGCTGCCCCGCCATGCACGTGTTGCTGAGAATAAGTTTCCCATTACGCATCAGGAAGGTAAAGAAATAACTTTATCATTATCCAGCCACAGGTGAGACAGCCAGGTACTGCTTCATGGTGCTCCTCATCACCTGGCATATTTTTTATTGATTATAATGATTGTTTTTGTTTGATTTTTTGTCTGTAAGAAATAATCAGTATTATTCAGGTGTGTGCTTGTGCGAGCGTGTTGTGTTAGTTACATGATGAACCAAGACTGAGGGGGGGTGGGGTGGGGTGGGGTGGGGTGGGGGGTGACATGGAGACAAAGGCAGGGTGGGTGGGGAGGCACGGGGTGGGGCATCTGGTGGGGGTCACCTGGGAACACATTCCTGAAGTGGCGGGCTATAACTTGCTGGGCGGGGGAGGAGAGGAGGAACAAACAAAAGACATGATGGGGCTAGGTTTCCGGGGTGAGTGCGGTGGTGGTGGTGGTGTGTGGTGGTGGTGTGTGGTGGTGGTGGTGTGTGGTGGCGGTGGTGTGTGTGGCGGTGGTGTGGTGGCGGTGGTGTGTGGCATGGTGGTGGTGGTGGTGTAGTGTGTGGTGGTGGTGGTGTGTGTATGGTGGTGCGGTGGTGTGTGTATGGTGTGTGGTGGTATGGTGTGTGTGGTGTGGTGGTGTGGTGTGGTGTGTGGTGGTGGTGGTGGTGGTGTGTGTGGCGGTGTGTGGTGGTGGCGTGTGTGTGGTGGTGGTGTGTGTGGTGGTGGTGGTGGTGGTGGTGGTGGTGTGTGGTGGTGGTGGTGTGGTGGTGGTGGTGTGTGTGCGGTGGTGGTGTGTGGTGTGTTGGTGGTGGTGGCGGTGTGTGTGGTGGTGGTGGTGTGTGGCGGTGTGGTGGTGGCGGTGGTGGTGTGTGTGTGGTGGTGGTGGTGGTGGTGTGTGGTGGTGGTGGCGGTGGTGGTGGTGTGTGGTGGCGGTGTGTGGTAGTGTGTGGGTCGGCCAGGGGAGGTGAGAGGAGGAGACGGATTAAATAATTTTACTCCGTCTCTCCTTCTCTTTGTCCTCTTTCTTATCGCCCAGATTATTTATACAGGATGTTCATAAAGTCCCGATCTATTTCAGTGATATTACGGTTTTTATTGATTTTTATTACAGGACTCCATGAAGGTGAACGTGAGTCAGGTCCTACACAAGAGACAATACGCGAATTGTTGAATAAATTCCAAAGACCGGGATCTGTTAATGATGAACCAAGACCTGGACGTCCACGTGTCTCACATGATGCTGTAAACGCAGTACGGAATGTGTATTGTCTCGTCTGTAGGCCCTGGCTTATGAGATTTTCTTTAAAACTTCTCTCTAATTTCTTTGCATTTCTTTCCTTTAATACACAGTGTTACCACCAGCTCACATTCATGCTCATGGAGTTCTGTAATAAAAATCAATAAAAACTCTGTACTACTGATTGTGGCATCGCCAGAGGCTGTGGTGGTTAGTGGTACACTGGACCACCAGTACTGTAGAACCGTCAGTGGTGGTGGTGGAGGTGCCTGTGGAGTGGGCGGCCCTGGGTGGGTAGCCTGGAGGGACACGTGACGTGGGTACCGAGCAGAGCAGGTGCCCGAGGACTGGTGGGCACAGGTCGTCGCTGGGTATCACAAAGTGTGAGGTACTCCAGCAGGAAACTGACTTTCATCTAGTATTGGTGAAAGTGGTTAAGTTAGATCAGGCAGGAGGCTGTGTACTGATCTACACCCACAACATTATTTGCAATTTACAGGTGATTGTCTGTGGTTTATAGAATGGTGGAAAATTTGGTGTTGTGGATAATATAGTGGCAATAAAGTCGAGGCAAATGACGTTCAATCTTTTTTTTTTTTAAGATAGAACAGATAAGAGGAGCAACAGCCTGTGTGATGGT